TCTTGCTTTCACATGCCCTTCCCTCCATCTCCCCTTGCTACCCCTCAGTTCTCTTCAAGATTCTCCCGTGGTGGGGGTGACTGCAGACCACCTCAATGCAGAGATACTCCTGATGGCATCCCAGCGCTCGTGAACAGGGATTTCTGAATCCCTGGCTTTGCTCTGTCTGTACATGGTGGGTTGCGGCTTCCAGCTATGTGTGTAGGACCAGGGAAACGGCAAGGAATCTTCACCATATAGGGGCAGCCTGGTGGTTTCTGTGGATCTCTCCTCTTACGGAAGACCTTTCTTGCCTGCAGGTCTCCAGAAATGTGGCGTCAGAGCTTTGGACTTCTAGGAAAATCCTACACCCATGACAGTGAGCTGGGGATCAGACAGCTGAGGGACATTTGGGGGATGGGGGATGCTCCCAAAGGGGGACAAAGGAAGGCCGCCATAGGGGGAAATATCTGGACTGGATCTGGCCAGGGTGAAACAAGGATGGGAATGGTCAAGAGCTCTACAGGAAACGGGTGGGGAACAGAGGTATGGAGAAAAAGGGAAGCTGAGGCAGACACCGTTCTATGGCAGGCTCACACTAGATAGACCCTCAGTAACGGTCACTTAGTCTTGGTTTCCAGGGTGGGAACAGCCACATACTTGAAATAGCCCCAGCCACCTCCTTGTGTCGTTCATGTGTGCTGATGGACAGGCTGCATCTCTCCCAACAGCAACAGGATCCTTTTTGCTGGGGAAGTGGCTCCACATACCCCTGTACCCAGTGCCTCTGTGTAGCGCTGTGGTGGATGTCGCTATCCAGGATTATGTGGCTGACGTGGCCTCCGAACTCATCTACCAGAACAAGAGTCACATCTCCACAGAAGTCCTCTTCGCCTTCCCCCTGGGCCCCCACATGGCCATCTACTCCTTCCAGGTCCGCAGTGAGGATGCCAACATCCAGGCTATGCTGCAGGATGAGGTATCAGCATCGAGGGACGAATGGGTGAACCACCACAGGGGCATGGGATGAGCAGCCCATGGCCTGCCTGGTGGTCAGCTTTCTGTCCCTCCCTTTCCCACCTAGCCCCAGCAGCTGCATAAGCCTCTAGGAGGCTGGGAGAATCTGGAATACCTTCAGAATCAGTCTAACTATCCAGGTGAGATGTTTGCCTGCTTCCTGGGCACCCTGTCCCCTGGCGGGGAGGTGGTCGTGACCTTGCGCTACGTCCAAGAGCTGCCACGGAAGCCAGATGGAGCAGCCCATTTTGTGCTGTCACCCACGCTCCATCCCTACACAAAACACTATGGTGAGTGACCCCACAAGGAACCTGCCCTCCCAGTCACACACCCCACAGAAGGGTCACACACTCCCCATGTACTTTACAAACAGACACGACACAACTTCCCTTTGCACCCACAGGGGGACCCACAATTTTCCCCCATGCAGCCCCTGGACAGATCCACATATTCTTCCTTGTGCCCCGTGAGGGGATCCACACCTCCCACACACTTTTCCCATAAACAGACTCATGGACCCCTGCATACACCTTGTTGACAATCCCCAGTTCTCTCCATATGTCTTACATGTGGATGCCAAATCCTGCACCCGCCATGCCCTACCCCTGCAGGGAGAGCCTTTGCCCTCCTCAGTGCTGTGGTCTCCTTGCAGCCTGGAATTGTCTCGCTAGCAAGCTGCCCTACAGCCTGCTGCTCACTGCTAGCCTGCAGTCACCCCGTGGAGTGGCCAATGTCCAGGCCAACTTCGCCCTCACCCCTTTGATCTACACTGCCCAGGATCGCAGTACTGCACAGGTATGCCCTCCTGAGTGCCAGGATCCTGGGGGGAACTTGGGAGGGGTGTCATCACTGAGAAAAAGGGGATGTACTGGGATCAGTGCCTGTGCTCCTGGCCGAATGCTGGGTCTGGTCCCCTCCTGTGTATGACCAGGCACCCCTTCTCCAGGTCTCACTGGCTGGCAGCCCACCAAGTCACAATGATTTGGAGCTGCTGGTGTATTTTGGAGACCCCCCTGCAGTCAGTGCTGTGGTGGAGAAGGGAGACCCTGGGGCCCCTCCAGGTGAGTGCAGCTGGGGAGAGAACATGGGGGCACCTCTGGGTTGCAGGAGGCACTGGGGCATGGGGAGACACTGGGGATTCTGGGGGGTGAGATATCATTGGACACTGGGATGGGAATGGGAGGCATTCAGATGGGATAGTTTGGGTCCTGGGGCTCCAAGGTGGGGTGCTGTGGACATTGTGGTGAGGTATCAGATACATCAGCATGTGTATGGGAAGTTCTATGTCAGGGCTCACTGCGTAGCTGTATTGGAGGCACTGGGCTGGAATACATGGGGCACTGGGCTGTGCAATTGGTGGACAGTACAGTAGGGTAATTGAGGTACCAGTGTTGGGCCATCACGGGCTCTGGGATGGTGGAAGCTGAAAGCACAATGAGAATCAGAAGCAGGAGGAGGAGGAGGGCCCCTATCTGGCCTTCATCCCACCGTATACCTCCTCCAGGCTCCCTGCTTGGTGACCCCATGGTGTTGGTGACGCTGGCACCCAGCATCCCTGAGGCAGTGCCTGGGCAGCACCAGTCTGGAGAGTTCATCTTCCTCCTGGACACCACTTTCCTTGAGCATGCACAGGTACCCCCACAGAGCAGGGATGAGGATGGGGTGGAGGAGCAGGTTGATGGGGAGTGGGCCAGGGCAAGCATTTACAGAGGGACAGAGATGTGAAGGGGGACTGGTGGGGCCTGAAATGGTGCTGAATCATCTTGGGTGCCCAGGGGAATTCAGGGCACTGGCTTGGCTCATCCAGGGGAGTCCAGAGGCTTTAGGAGGACCAGGCAATGGTCAAAGGCATCTGTACCCCCCACAGGTGCCTCCGAAAACCACCTGCCTGCTGTGTCTTTCCATAGGACTCCCTGCTCTTCCTTCTCAAAAGCCTGCCCCTGGGCTGCTACTTCAACATCTACTGCTACGGAGAAACCTCTGTGGGCATCTACCCGTGAGCAAACATGGGGCAGGCTGGGTGCTATGGGGCTGGATTAGGTGCTGGTGGGTAGGGCTGGGTGCTGTGGGGCATGGCTGGGTGCTGTGGGGCTGGAATGGGTCCTGTGGGGCAGGGTTACATGCTGGAGGGCAGGTGTGCGTGCTCAGAAATCGTCTGGTTGCTATGGGACAAGGCTGAGTGCTGGAGGGCTCGACTGGCTACTGTAGGGCAGGGCTGGATTCTGGGGATGGGATCTTTGTGGCATTATGGGATAGCACCTCCTGGGGTTCTGTTGAGCAGAGTCTTGTAGGAACTATGAAGCCGGGTGTCTTCAAGAACTACTGTGGGCAGGGACTTGCAGAGGACCCTAGGGCATAGCTGTGGGAAGTGCTATGGGGCAGGGTCTCGGGGAGCACTAAGCATAGAGCAATGTGCTCTCCAAACATGCTGTGTCCCCTGCAGGCAAAGTGTTGAATATACTCAGGACAACCTGACCGAGGCCATGCAGCGCATCCCCCCCACGGGCTCCAGTTTGGATGACACCAATCTGCTGGGAACCCTCCGCTCAATCTACAATACCCCTCGCCCCCGCGGGCATACGCGCCAGGTCTGGGTGCAGGGGCATGGAGGGGTGGAGGGACAGGTGTCCCAGGAGGGGAGAGAGGACACAGGAGTGTGGGTGGAAGGAGCCACCCAAAGTACGTGGTGGTCACAAGGGAACAAGAAGGATATTGTGGGATGTGGGAGAATGGCAAAGTGGTCTATATCTTTGGGGGTTTCTGTCCCTGAGTGGATATGCCTCCCTGTGGTAGTCTCTCTCCTGGGCTCCTCTCTCCATATCAGGGGCCTGCTCTCCCAGTTTTGGGGTCCCTGTGCAGGGTCCCACTTCTCATGTCCCCTGTCTCCCAGCTCTTCATCTTCATGACCAGGCTACCCCCTGACAAGGAAGCCATCGCAGCTGAGGTCTGCCATCACCGCAACAGCCACCGGTAATGGGAACTCTCTGCCCCCCATCCTCCGCTTGCCCTTTGGTTACCCAGTCATTTCCATCCCTGGTGAGGGCCCCTGTTCAGCAGCGCCTGTCCCAATCCTTGGGCCCCTCTGTTGTCCCCAGGGTGGTGTTCCCACCTTGCACAGCTCTCCTATGCCAAGCCCCCATGTGGGAGTCTTTGCTTACTACTCCCACAACCAA